TACTAATCACACAAGTTTAACCTCCAGAACAAAGTGAGCAAGGATCGGAGAGCTAAGGTCGTGCTCCAGCATACAGAGGCTCCAGGGAGAAAGATGATTGTCCCCAAGCTTTGTAGTTCATCTCCAGCAGGTGTGCGGCCGGCTGTGCGCTGCGATTGGAGCTTGCATCGGGCCATGTGCTCCAATCGCATCTCAGGCGGACCAGGAGATGGCGCAGCCAAATGCCGGTGGGGCAACCGCACATGCTCATAAAAGAAGTGGACACACAGCGTGAAAATCAACTCTGACGACCAGGAAGGCCGCAGCCGTAAACAAATGTTCAAAAAGCTCTTTATTTGTCTTGTATGCCTGTGCTTGCAGCACCTCTTTTCCTCTGTCTGAAACCAAGCACAGTCATCTCGAAAAATTTGATTGGTTCAAGGCTGCTAAGAGCTGTCCGGCCCCTTTGCACAACAACTCTCTCTCTCTCTGAAGTGCAACATCTGGTTAGCTATGGTACACGAAGTAAAGCAAAGGAGTCCAGATGGAGGCTGTGGATGCGGAACATTTGTAAAATGTGGACACAGAAAGTAGAAAAGACTGACGGGAGGTACTGAGTGAGGATGTGTGTGTGGTGTTGTGTGTGATGCGGTGTGTGTTGTGTGTGTGTGTGTGTAGTGTGGTGTGTGGGTGTGTGGTGTGTGATGTTGTGACGCCGCTGTGGTGTTGTGATGTGTGTGTGTGGTTGTGTGTGGTGTGTGTGTTGAGTGGGACGGGCTGCTCCATCAGCGGTTCTCCGCCTTGGTCTTATCGGGACAAACTTGCTCCCCTGCTCCGTCACAACGATGATCTCCTGTCGTCAACCAGATCGGATCTGGCAACGGAGAAGGATACACTTCGGTCCTGTGGCTACACTTTTATTTACTTCAATTTCTCCAAACTATTCTTTTTCAACAATACTAATTCATTCACGATGAAGTTTTAGAATACTCAGATCCTTGAGCCAGCAATATCAAAAAACAATGAAAAATAAAAACAACTCCATTACTAATATGAGTTCTTCATTCTAAATCTTAAATTAAACCCAATCTAAATGTGACACATGTGTAACAAGACATACACACGTAGGGCGGATGCCAAGTCGCAAGAAAATCAGTAAAAAAGTAAAAACCGTATGTATTGTAAGAGTATAATGTCCCCGTATAAGAAAATTAATACACAAGTAATACAAACACCTAACATTTTTAAGAAGATCAGATACTACACCACATGAATTTCACTATTGGTCTATGCCTATAAGAATACTCTGAGCAGAGAAATACAAAGTGTTATTCCAGAGTGGTTCCTGCTGTACTCAGCACTGTTGTCAGATTATTAGAAGAACCCTGTTAGGGATGAAACCCTCTAATGGTCAACCCATGTCAGAGCACACACAGTGGAAATGTGTTCATCTGCTTTTAACCATCTTATTACAAGAAGTCTTAGTACTAGGATGTGCAGTGCCCGGGGAAGCAATTGGGGTGGACTCTCAAGGGCACCTACGCAGGCCCAGGAGTAAAACTGGGACCTCTCAGAGTAGCAGTCCACACTCCATATGAAGTCTGTCCATGATTTAACCGGCAACCCTACGGCTCCTCAGTCCAATGCCCTCCTACTGACTGAAGCCGACAGCCGGAATCAATAAATGATTCAAGAAATTGTTATGGTCCATTTCACAACCATTTCTGACATTTTTAAAACTAAATTACAACACTATAGAGCAAAAATGGCAAGAGCAGCCTTATCGATTACAGTAAATTCCTTATTGTTGTTTCAATTTTGGTTTTCTTTCTGCTCTAAACTCACCTGTGAATCTCGACCTGTGACAATCTCCAGAACTTTTCCCTGCTTCCTATTTCTGTTCTCACTTCACTTCCGTAATAAT